CCCCCCCCCCCCCCCCAATCATATGCCCCATTACGTTTTCATTATTTGGAAAAGGAGTGAAAGTCTCCTGTCATTTTATCTCCTTATAATTTCTCATGCATTTTCCTACGCATGTGTTTGACAAAATGCACCAAAAACAAAAAACATCTCATATGCTTATACCAAATGAGAATATAATAATATGAGACTGATCAAAAGATGTTCATCACTCATCTTGAGGTCACGACCCATTTGCAAGACCTGGATGTGATGACGAATATGCCATCAGGAAAACAAAGATTAAATTCCTCAATTTGTATTTTTAATATCATAAAATTATAACAACTCTCACTCAAACTATCATTAAGATTTTTGTTTGAAAATGAAACACATGAGTTGCACTATGTTCGGTAGTGGCGTGCCGTTTAGTCTCTCTATGTGTGCATGCACGTTATAAAACAAGATCAAAAATCAATCAACAAAGAAAAAGAAAAACCATCATATATACATATCTTCTCTGGTCTCTACCTCAAACATGTTCAAATAAACGCGTAAAACCAGTCAAACTCATCCCTACACACATAATAATACTCAATACCAACTCTTTATTGATTATTCATCTGACGTAGTAATACAACTTAACATGCATTAGAATTTATAGCAATATACATGAACCCCATTGCATTATAAAAATCATAACGCATCTTGCGTAGAACATATGCCTACGTATAACTTGGCTTTCCATATATCACGTACACTCAAATAGGAGAACAGTTTGGATCATAGAAGATGCCCCCATCCATTAGGGCAAATTATACCTAGCACAATAACTACAACTCGATTTTCATCATCGTCGCATAACATCAGCCATTAATGGTGTGGTCCGGCATTCAAAGTTCTCTAAGTCTCGAAACTAGAATTTCATCTCATGCTATACTCTGCTGCGAGCCTAGCAAACGAAGATGACTTGTTTTCCAGCAACTTGGTTGGAGTATCATATTCCTCGATTAATCCTGCACCAGAGGAATAAAGAAAAAGTCAAGATTATTTTACTCCAAAGCCTCAAGGATAATAATATGTACTGAAGGCTGAATGTGATCTAACCATGATCTAATAGTAGGACCATGTCACTGTCGAGCACAGATGTTATTCTATGTGCAATTGTTATGACTGTGGAGTCGGAGAAGTGTTGCCTCAAGGTTTGCTGAATCAGATTATCAGTTGCTGCATCAACTGATGCTGTAGCCTCGTCAAGCACCAAAACCTTGCTTTTCTTGAGTAACACACGGCCAAGACAGACCAGCTGTCTTTGACCCACACTCCAATTATCTCCATTCTCATTAACTGAAAATTATAGGAATAATGAGAAATAAGAATTCCAGTGATTGTAGGAGTTAAAGAAATCTCTGGAGTTCATGTGAAAGTGGAAATAAAGTAAACCTGCTGAATCAAGTTTGCCTTCCTTCTTCCTAACCTCGTCTCCAAGCTGACACTTATCAAGAGCCTAAACAAATGAAAAACAGTTGACTACGCAGCCTTAATGACGTATTTACAGAATTATGAAATCAATCCCGGACATTTGCATTTTTCCCATTTTTATTCCAAACAAATATAAGCATCAAATAAAGCCATCCCACCTCCCAAATCTGTTCGTCCGTATGCTCTTCCAGTGGATCCAGGTTTCCTCTTATCGTCCCCTCAAACATGGTTGGATCCTGTGGAATTATACTCAATCTANCATGCACGTTATAAAACAAGATCAAAAATCAATCAACAAAGAAAAAGAAAAACCATCATATATACATATCTTCTCTGGTCTCTACCTCAAACATGTTCAAATAAACGCGTAAAACCAGTCAAACTCATCCCTACACACATAATAATACTCAATACCAACTCTTTATTGATTATTCATCTGACGTAGTAATNATACTTTTGAGAGAGATGCTGGTGACCGTTCGATAAATTTATTTGAGACCATCGAATAAATTTATTAAAATCTGTCATAATTTATGTTATAGATNCTCATCCCTACACACATAATAATACTCAATACCAACTCTTTATTGATTATTCATCTGACGTAGTAATACAACTTAACATGCATTAGAATTTATAGCAATATACATGAACCCCATTGCATTATAAAAATCATAACGCATCTTGCGTAGAACATATGCCTACGTATAACTTGGCTTTCCATATATCACGTACACTCAAATAGGAGAACAGTTTGGATCATAGAAGATGCCCCCATCCATTAGGGCAAATTATACCTAGCACAATAACTACAACTCGATTTTCATCATCGTCGCATAACATCAGCCATTAATGGTGTGGTCCGGCATTCAAAGTTCTCTAAGTCTCGAAACTAGAATTTCATCTCATGCTATACTCTGCTGCGAGCCTAGCAAACGAAGATGACTTGTTTTCCAGCAACTTGGTTGGAGTATCATATTCCTCGATTAATCCTGCACCAGAGGAATAAAGAAAAAGTCAAGATTATTTTACTCCAAAGCCTCAAGGATAATAATATGTACTGAAGGCTGAATGTGATCTAACCATGATCTAATAGTAGGACCATGTCACTGTCGAGCACAGATGTTATTCTATGTGCAATTGTTATGACTGTGGAGTCGGAGAAGTGTTGCCTCAAGGTTTGCTGAATCAGATTATCAGTTGCTGCATCAACTGATGCTGTAGCCTCGTCAAGCACCAAAACCTTGCTTTTCTTGAGTAACACACGGCCAAGACAGACCAGCTGTCTTTGACCCACACTCCAATTATCTCCATTCTCATTAACTGAAAANGATTGGATTAAATCGTAAATTTAAATATTTTTAATACGATTTTTTTGTGTAACTTTAGAATTTTATAAATTCTTATTGTTAATGGACGATTGAAGATAACTAAGATGTTTTTTTGCAAGAGTTGATCCAACGAGACCTTACTTAGATAGATTACTCGGTGGGAAGAAAAATATTTTTTCCTTCAAAAATGTCGATCTAAATCTATTTTGGTCATTTAAATTTTCTTAATAAATAATATATATATATATATCATACATGTGAGAGATTAATCCATGTACATGAAGTAAATTTATAAATAATTTAGTGAATTTGAAAGAGAGTATATAAGAGGGTCCCAATGACACTGAGGAAGCAAAGTTGGTTTGTTTGTGTGGTGTGGTGAGCAAGTAAATTGAGGTTGGAGTTGGGACAAAGAAATAATAAAATATTGAATGAGACAATGCGATGGAAAAAAGTCTCTAAATAATAGATTGACTTTGACGAAAAACCACATCAATATCTTATTCCAAATGCTCGAGAGTAAGTAGTCCTAAAGTCTGTTGGTAAGTAGGGTCAATTTGTTGAGAGTTCCAAACCTCTATAATTTATTTCTATAATATAAAATAGGGGTTTCGATAAGGCTATCATATGTTCTCAAATTCATTTACTAAACGGTCAAAAGATTATCTTTTTTTTTTCCTTAATTTTCTCCCATAATCGGTCAATGATTATGGTTGATCTTATAACACATCCTACGATATTAAATTCATTCATCCAACGATCAAGAAATTATTATTTTTTTTCTTAATATTTTTTTTCATCCGATTAACGATTACGGCTGATCTTAAAATATATAATTTTCTTTGACATAATAATTAAATGAGTCAAATTTGTCATTAATATAATCTGTGTAGTGTAACATTTTGAATTTTTATAAGTCACAATGATAATATTTTGATTAAAAAAAATTCATCAATTTAACAGATAAAAAAAACAAGGTCATTTCTTAACACATTTATATTGGATATAATTAATTTTAATTTTATTTATTTAATTAATTATCTCAGACTAACATGTCTTACACATATCTTGAATCAAAAATTCAAGACTAATTTTTTTATCTCTTAAAAAAACCTAACACTAATATATTCTTATAAATTAATAAGTTTGCAATACTTGTACTAATTAAAAAAATAATATTTTATAACTGATATTTGTAGATTTTTTTTTGATAGAAAATAATTTGGCGATATGCTTTTTGATAAATTAGTTTTTTAGTTTATATTAAATTTAATTTGATTTTGATTACATATACATAAATTAATATTTTTTTTAAATCAATTTTATCATGTTTCGTGGATTTATCTATAATATAAAACAGAAAAGGTTTCAATAAGTTCATCCGACGGCCTCAAGTAAACTCATCAAATGGACCCAAAAGTTCTCTCTCTCCGGCAGTGGCGGAGGTAGGAGGGGTTTGGAGCCACCATAATTTTTTTTTTTTGTTATATATGTTTTATATATTTTTTTAAATATTCTTAATTGAGTCCACTGTAATGATTTATGAAAAATAAAATTAATTAGGTTAAACAAGTTGGGTAGTAGAATAAAAATAAATAAATTATGCCAAATCTCTTAAAATTAACAAACTAAAATTGATTCCTTAGAGTATTGATATGATTTATTGGAGCCTCTTTTGGTTCAAACATTATGGAATATATGACCAAAAATGAGTAAAATATAAGATTTGTAAGAAGATTAAAAATTATAAAATATTATTTTTATTTGTGTCAAATTTATAATATAAAATAGGATAAACTTCAATAAATTCATTTGACGGTCTCAAATAAACTCATCTAACAATCACCAACATCCATCTTAAAACCATTCAGATTGAATTTCTCCTCTCCCAAATTCATCACTTCTCACTTATGTTGTATCGTATTTTCAGGCACAGATTATCTCTAATAAATAAATAAAACATAGAAAAAGTATCCTCTATAGTTAGTTCCAATTGAACAGGTTGAGAAGAATATGTAGTTCAGTCATATAATACTATTAACATGTTTGCTACGAAAAAAAAATTGATAGATGAAAATCCAGTAAAAACAGTATATGCGGGAATCTCCGTGTCTAAAAAAAAGTAGTCAAATAACATTAGAGAACCAACTTTGGTGTTTTGTGTGGTGTGCAAGTAAATTGAGATTGGGGTTGGGGTTAGGACAAAGAAATAAAGAAATATTAAAAGAGATAGAATTACTTATAGACCACCTTGGAATCTAGTGGCATGCATGCATGCTATCGCTCCCCCCCCCCCCCCCCCCCCCCC